GAGGGGACATGTCCTGCAGGGTACTGCACTGCAATTAAGCAACTCGTTTCACTTCCCAGCATGACCAAATGGCAGGATGAAACTGGAACAACAGTATTAGTTACAAAAAGAAAGGAGAAAGAGATTAGAAGGATAAGCAGAGGGGAAACAGAAGGCAAACACAGTAAAATGGAAAAAGTGGATCCAAACCAAAACCAGGGCCCTTCTTGCAAGCACTGAAAGGCAGGGGTAATGGAAAAGAGCTGCTGGACCCCCCAAACTGGGAAGCTTGTCTTCCCTCCCTGCCTCTTGATTTCTTTTGAACCAGTTGTATTAAGGAAACAGTTCCCTCTCTTCTTACTGGAGAACATGGGAAGCTTATCCATGTTCCCCCCCAGACTTTATTAAAACTTAAGTGGCTTTTCTTCCTTCTCCAAGTTTCTGTATCATATATTTTATCAGATGAGTCCAGTTTTCCTGGGTTACAAAATGTCCCCACATAGCAGCTCCCCTTGCTCTGCAGGACAGTCCCTTTTCCTTGCTGAGGAAAGCTGCCTCAAGAATCCCAGTCAGCCTTATCCATCCAATTCCTGTATTGAGTCTGTGAGAATTATTAAAAGTCTGCTCTGATACCTGGACAGCAAATAATTTAATTTCAAGCTAATGCCCTTTCTGTTATTGTTAAATAACATATCTTACTGTCCTGGAAATGGTAGGGCTGGAAGAATGGGCTGCACACTGCTGTATGATGGTAGTGGCAAGAGATCTCCCTAATGCATGAAGGAAGTTATGTACATTATTCTGGGAGAGAAGGATTTGTCTGTCTATTCTGGCTGCACACCCTGGCCTGGGAGAACAACAGGCAAAGCAGGGCCTGTCTCTCCTCTGCCATAGTGCAATACTATTGGGAACCATGCCAAAGAGACTGGACATGCCCTTGACAATGGGAGATGCGCCTGGGTTTGGGGCAGATGTTTACTTGCTTTCTAGTTCTTCCTGCCCCCAAGTCCTCCCCGGGAATCCACAGGAGCCCAAGAACAGGAGCTTGAGATGTGCTTCTCTCATCTGTGCTACTCCTCTGACAGCTGATGTGGTAAGCTATGCTACCATCTGCAGTACAGCACAGAGAGGAACAAACAGCTTTTGGGGCATGGGAAGCAAATTTTGCATACATATGACAATGGTCTCTGTGCTCCAGTGCCTGAGCTGCTGTTTTTCCTTGAACTGAATAGGCGTCTTCAGATAATTGCTGAGAGAGGATTTACTTCACCTAATGCATAGGGGAGTATTAGAGGGGCTGCATTCATTTAACTGCGTAAGATAGACACAAAGACCGGAAAATCCCAAATTTGTATTTGTCACAGAACAGAATTCTGAAATCAATGTCACTTTAACGCAACAGGGTTTAACTCACAGGATTTTACTGGTGTTCAGCCCACGCTACACAAAAAGCTTCTGTTGGTGGAACGGAGAGTATTTCTGGCGGTGATTTTGACCAGTTTGCCCAGTACCATCGGTTTGGAATTAGTCTATATGGGGAAAACCAGGCATCAGCCAAGTTTAGTTCTCACAAGCTGGGAATCACACAGAAACAGAATGAGAAGGGGCCCCAAAGCTCACATAATGCATCCCACCCCAGTGTTTTCCTGGCCTCCATTTGTTTAAAACACTCTTCAAAAATCTCTTGTAACAGAGGTTTTTGACACCTTCCTCAGACCATCTCTCCCTGCTTGTAACCATCCCTGTGGCTAGAAGGTTTTTTTCCTAATATCTAACCTAATTCTCTCAAACTGCAATTAAGCCTATTGTTCTTGTCCTACTTATCTATATAATTCCCTTCTTTGCAAAATACGCTTCTTACAGAAAAACAATTTTCTATGTCCCCTTTGGTCTTCTGTTGTTCACACTGAACACTACATGATCTCTAACATGACCTACGAGGACAGGCTTTTCCAAACTTCTAATAATTCTTGATTCGCTCTGCTTGGCTTCCTTCCAGCTACTTCACATTTCCCTTGAAGGGGAAAAATTTGCTCAGTATTTGACACACTGCTGTAGCTAAGGCCTTACTAGTGCTGAGTGGAGCTGAAGGATTGCTTCATGCATTTAATAAGTTATAGCTCTGTGTAAACATCCTCATATTGACATTTAACATTTTCACAACAGCCAGGTCCTGTTGACTCATGTTCAGGTTGTGATTCACTCCCTGCAGAGTTGCTGCGAGACCTTGGATCCCCACCCTTCCCCCAGCACTCTGCAGGTCAAGCCCTTGTTCATAAGGGAGTGTTAAAGGCTGACACATTGCTCATTTCTACTCCTCCTTTTTCATTTTTAGAAATATTGGCACGCTGCAGCCAGTTCTTGTTTTTCTTTACTGGATTTCTCAGTACATACCCTTTCCTCCCTCTGCTGAAGGCACATGGATTGTCCATCTTCACTAACGTGCTGCTTCTCCCCTCACCACCAAGGGTTTTCTGGGGTTTGTTTTTATTTACATCCAGTTAGCTGAAGTGAAAACAGCTTATGATCTGTGTAAGACATGCTCATCCTCCCATCTGGTTTCATTTCCACGGCAACCATACTGTCATGATCTTACCAGTTCTCCAGTCTCTTGAGGCCCTAACAACATCCACCCTCCTGAAGGTTTGGCTGGTGGGGCTGAGTGCTCGAGGTTGACCTGAGGTCTCAGGGCAGGGACCTGTGGGGCTCTCCAGGCTGGCAGAGTGGCTAGGGAGCTGGGCAGGCTGGGGGGTACCTGGGGTCAGCCCTCAGGCCAGGGCATCAGCTCACAGGTCAGTGCACGGATGTAGATCGGGGGCCAGCAGACCTTTCATAAGAGTTCAAGCCCCATGTGGGGGAAAAAAAAAAAAAAAGCAGCAGAAACAGTCCTCTCTTTCACCCCAAATATTCAAGCATGCAGAAACCCCAAACTCAACCACACAAGTAATCCTCCCAAACAATCCTTTCAGGAAGTCCTATACATCATAAGCAAAAAATGGTTAAAACCTTTCTTTTACCTTTGCAAGTTATATCTAGTATGGTGCTATCAAAGGACTATCAAGCAATATTAATACATCAATGTTTTCTAGTATATTTGCAGTTCTGCACTTTTTAAAATAAAAATGGTCTAATAAGCCATAAATTTACATTTCTTAAGTTACCCTGTCTGGCTCCCTTAATAAAATGACTGCAATACAATACATACAGCAGTGTAAATCTGTAAAACCATAGAGCTCCAAATACTAATCAGAAGCTTTCATAACAGAAATTAATAAATGGAAGTCCAGAAATTTAATAAGGAATGAAATTTCACAAGCTGTTAAAAGACCAGCAAAGACAGATTTCATAATATTTTATAGGGCATCTAAAGTAACTTCAATACTTTTCAATAGCATTATGAAACAAAAATCACTTAACTGACTATAGGCTTGAGACAGTGCACGGGTGTAGATCCGGGGGCCAGCAGACTTTTCATAAGAGTTCGAGCCCCATGTGGGAGAAAAAAAAAAAAGCAGCAGAAACAGTCCTCTCACCCCAAATATTCAAGCATGCAGAAACCCCAAACTCAACCACACGATTCAAGGTTGGTATTGCAGCACTCTTGTCTTGTTTGCTGGAGTGACAGTCTTCAACCTGAGTTGGTAGTGCAAAATCTCTGGAAGGCATGGGACCTGAAAAGGAAGGGGTAGCAAAGAAAGTACTAATATCCAATAAATATGGCTCTGGGATAAACCTGAAGATACGATTGCAGTTGAGACAATTTCAGCAGAAAAAAAAATGCAAATCTTATGTAAGCAAGAATAGAAGATAACGTGGAATATGTCTTATCTCTCAGTACCAATCACTACATTCTCCATCAATGATACCGTAGAATAACTGAGATTATTGTAATAATTGCCTCTCCATTATACAGTTTTTTGTCTCCATTTGCTTCTTACTGTCATATACAGTTGCTGACAGGATGCTAATAAACACTTTTCTTGAATGGTTGCAGCACATCTATCTTTCTACTAGCCTGACTCATGAGTGAGTGAGTAGCTAGATGCTACCACAATACAAATAAATAATTAAACAATCGTGAAAAAATAATAGAGCAACTTGTAGCGATCCTCTATTTAGGGCAATAGAGATATCATTGGTTTACTTTGTACGTAAAATCAGAACTCAGTCTTGTTTTTTCCTTCCGTTTGGATTAGCCCACATGATGGCAATCTCTATCATTAACATACACCAAGTTCTTCCTTCAAACACTGCCAGCTTAACATATGTTTCATTTGCGCAATACTAAAAATAAGATGAGAAAATCTGCTTGGCTTTCAATAAGTATACGAAACAGCCAGAAATTTTCCTGACAAACAGCGAATAGCCTGTAATGCCACAAAGGTGAACCAATCATACAGGCTTCAGCACGATGCTCTGGCATAGCATGCAGCAGAGACAAAAGCCTCTACAGAAGCTGCGTAGCAGCTACAGAAGCTATGCTGCTGCTGTCCCCGTTTCATGTGCTCTGCTTAACCAAAACCACTCTGCCCCAGGTGTTCTTGTCGCCATCTCAGCCTTCAGGCGGGAGCTGGTGAAAGAAGTGAGGAAGGGAAAAAAAGGCCAACTACACACAGTCAGATAAGTCAAAAGAACTGAAATGGAACTTTATTTTTTTTTTTTTTAGAAAGTATTCTACAATAACGGCTCAGAATACTACCACAATGTACAGGGACAAGGCAGTGCTCTGGGCTATGACTGTAGATTACTCTAGTATATATATATATTTGTAAGAGCTTAAGAGAGGTTGAAATAGGGCAGTTCAACATTTCTTAAGCACATATTTAATAATTTTAACATTTTCTAGATCTCTCATATTATAGCAGGATTTATCAAATGCAATGTAGTCACAGAAGTCTTGCATAAATACAAATATTGATACTTTACCTTGGATATTGTATATGATATAAATTCTGCCTTACCTTTAAAAAAATCTCCAGATCATTGTGTGACCTGGAGTCTTTCCCTTTCTTTCTCTTTAAGAGTTTTTAAATATATATATATTTATATATATTTCCTATAATACATCAAAGTATATATGAATCCCATCATTCCTGTTATATTTTCTGCAGACATGGTCTGAAACAAAATCACCAACAACTAAACCAAAAGATTCCTGGTTAACATAGGAGAGCCAAAGAGGATCTCCTCCTTTTTTGTGTTTCAGTACTAGTATTTTTTTAAACTTGTAAGGATTCTTCATAAACTTAGAGGTCCATAGATCATTTAAAGCACTCTTTATAAGCAAATTTACATACTTTGACATGCTTTTGTGAGGCAGTTAGTATCAAAATCCAATCGTATTTCTTACAGAACCATATGACTTTCTGCGATGCAGATATACATTTCATGTCTAAAAAGCCACAGTTCTTTTTCTACATCTGCTCTCATCAAATCCCCAGGATTCATTCATAAAACTGCTGCTGTTCCAAATGCTGATGCTGTTATCCCTGCTGTGGATTAAGGTGTACACCCAATCTGGTGACATCATCGCGTGGAAGATTGATAAGTAGGAAAATACCCTCCCCAAATCCACAGATAGTCTTTTCTATCTCTAAATCCTCATGATTCATGTCACCCAACAGTGCAATGCGATGATGACACGTCTCTGTGCAGGCTAAGGGTCTTCTTCCATCAAAGGAATCTCTAGGGAAAAAAAAGAAATATCATTTGATTGCTGATTGTAACTTCCCCTTATACTTTTGCAGAGTATTAGTATTAGCAATTAGCAATTCTGCAAAAATAGAAATGGACATTGCAAAAACCTGAACCCGAGCAACACATGCAGTGTCTCCAATTCTATACCCACTTACGCTCTAACACCTATGTGAAAATTAACCTACTAAAACTACCCAGATTTTCTAAAACAAGTTAGGCCCACAAAAAACCTAAATGCTTTCTACTACATTAATTACTGAATTGGCATTCAGACTAGGCAGAGGCTTTTGCTGGCATTATCATAATTTCTCCCTCCTCCTTCTAGCTATCATCCTCCCCTTTTGATGCCATCACAGGTTAGCCCCAACGCTATGAAGCAAGAAGACTTCCTCCACCCAGACCTTTACCCACACTGAATTTAGGACACTGGGTTCAGCTCTGCTACTGATAAGTCACACAGAGATTGCTTTGCCTAGTGACTCTCAGTGAATATGGAGAGCAGGATCAGAGATATTCCTTTTAAATGTCTCCAAGGGAAGCTATCTAGTTTCCTTAACATGCTGAGCAGCACATCATCCAGCTCCGGTAGAACTCAATGAAACGATATCAACGCATGCTCATGTTCGATTGAAATGCAGACGATAATATATGGCAATCTCCCTTCTCATACATGGTCGTATGGGTACATTCCTCTTAACGCTGCGACTCCCATGTCCGTGGCTTAATGGCATACATGCTTTAGACTGAACAGTTTGCTTTACGCGCAGACACCATAAGCTTGTTAATAGAGGCTTCTAATTTTGGCTTAGTGTGAAAACATGATTTGCTTTCCATTTTAAGACGAAAATCCTGTTCTTTGCTGTGAAAGCCATGGCATGTGAGGGAGTTGTGAGTGTAGGAGTTGAGGAGCAGATGAACAGACCAATGCAGGCAAAATGATGGTTGGCTTCGCTGCTGTACACAGGTGCCTGCTGACATCCCTGTTGATGAGACTGCTGTTATGGGGTCTGGACAGGACCCTTCTGGGATTCAAATCCCTTCCACCACAGTTAGCAAGGACATATTACAGACACGAAGTTCTATCACCATGGAGTAGTATGGGTTAAAACATGTCCAAATTAAGATGTGGACAAAAACATAGAGAACATAGGAGCAGGTCAGCTGGGTTTATTCCTGCTCTGACAGTGCAAACAAATGATGGCTCCTGTTTACAGACTCACCTATTACACCTACGCAAGACTCACCATCTGCAATATCGATCCGCGGACTCATGGACGCAGCCTTCCCGACAGTGCTACGGGATTCATCAGTTCGATCTGAACTGGGAAGCGCTGCTGCTTGGCACGCTGGGGATGGGTGCAAACTTTGGAGCAGTTCAGAGGAGCCTGACCTACTGTCACAGGTCTCAAATTCGCTAGGCAGTGTGTCTGTAATCCTGGGGCCTGGATAAGCAGGAGGATTCTGATCTTCTGTCTGCAAAATATGCCCCTGGTCTGTGGTAGCTGAGTATCCAGGTGCCAGAGCATTCAAGCCGCTGCTTACAGCTTCATCGTAGGAAGGCAGCATGACAGGAACACCATCCACCACCACAAAGTCAGGGTCACCCATGGAGCCCTCCTGGTTGCCTCTACATCAAACACAGATGAGTTATCACAGAGAGCAGAAGCACGTCAGAAGCGCCTCAGAGCAATCACTGAACTTAAGTAAACACAGCACTTTCTAATCATGCAAAATGAATCTACAGGGTCATCAACATTCACAGAAATGTTTGCTTCATGGGTTTGCAAAACTCTGTTCAGGTTGACAATCAGGTGGAATCTGTTACAATAGGAAAAATGAAAATAATAATGTGAAGGAAAATTTCAAGAAGGGAAGGAAAACAGGTGTTTGGAAACGATAAGGAGCACCATTTGCTGTGCTGTGCATAGTAAGTATCATGGATATAAGATCACAGATGTAGTTCACCAGTCAGAAGTGTCTGAACCCCTGGAAAGATGCGTGCTAGAGCACAAAAGTGTTTACAGCCCATGTAAACAGGCACTGGGATGACTACTGCTGGATGACAGGGCTTTGGTGGCCAGATTTGTGGCCTCCTTCGGGTCTTACTTTCAAAGGATGAAGGCTTCCTTAACCAGTATTAAGCTGATTTCTTTTTTAAATAAAATATTTCTATTAATCAGGAAGGTCTGTTAAACCCTAAAGTATCTAGTTTTTAGCCAGTTAAATCACAGTAGAGTCCTAGCAGGAGGGAATTGGTCCCAGGTACCTTTAGGACTTGAAAACGTCTGAAAAGAAGAGGACAGAAAGCTATTTCAATAAGCTAGTCGAATATGGACTATAAAGCTATCTGTGGTGCAACCCATTACCCTAAAGATCTTCCTAGTTATATACATATATGTATACTACTTCCCATATACTGCATATATGCACATATATGTATGTATATAAATTTACACATTACTTATATAATCTGTATAATTTTATGCACACATTTCTTTAACATTAAAATCACCAAGTCCTTCTTGCTGCGTGTACTTATTGACATACAGCTTTTCCATCTCTGTTTTCTGCATGTGGTAGAATAAAGACATGAGAAAAAGCAAGAGCAGGAGAGAAGCAGTCACACAGTCAAGGTCCATAGCAAACTGAGCAGACTGAAAACTAGAAACAAGTTTAAACCCCAGTATAGTACTAGTTTTGCCTAAAACTCGGCACACCTGCCTTTGGTTTTCCAGTTGTAAGATAATAATAATACCCACCTGCCTGTCTCATGAGGAGTTCTGTGAGAATCAATGACAAATGCTCATAGCTGCATGGTATTTTATGGAAATAAAGGAAAATGTAGGAGATGTTTATGAACCGTGATGAAAATAATACTTATGAAGGGAAAGCAAACTTTTAATATGAATTTGTCCATAGAGAAAAAAGAAATTCTTTCTTAAAACTTACATTACTAAGTCTACAGTAGTTAAAAAATTAATTCCCCCAGCACCTGAAAATGAGTATTTAAAAATATTGTCAGCTATTTTTACATGCAGAAGCAGCAATTCTCAGTAGTAGAGCTGTAATTACTCCCAAAGTGAATCTGGCAAACTTTGCCTTTTATCTTAGTTGCAGAAAGGACTGCTGCAGGTTTCTGGGGGTGCCCTTCCACACTGGTGGTTCAGAAACTTCTGCTCAGAGCAGAAGAAGGTATCTGCAAGGCTGGTGAGCCGCTCTGTCTCCTTGGCGAGGAGAAAAACTGAATCAAGGTCCTCAATCTTAACCAAAAAAACAAAAAACAAAAACAAAAGACAAACCTTGGAAGGAAATGTGTCTTAAATTTGGTCTGGAACATCCTGGCTAAAATAACCAGAAGCAGTACTAATAAAACGCTGGTAGCAGTAAACGCCACTATTTTCCATGTAGTCAGGAGAGTCTCCTGTGTATTTGGCCAGGTTTGTTCTGTAACAAAAAGTCAATACAAGAGTCGGGCTTGATTATTACAACTCTTATTTTGTATTAATACTTCAACAATACTCGTCAGTGCCAGTTAGGAGAAAAGATCTTTTATATGTATGTTGTAGAAATAAATACACATGAACCTAACGCCATATACCAAAAGCAACCGTAACAGTAAGCTGCCATAGAGGCTGGACCTTGCATTATCCCCTTGACTTTATTTTTTAGACATGCAATCATGAATTTAGCTTATATACATATAAAAATATCCAGAAGATGTTCCAAAATATACTGAAGAGCTAACTATTGAAATGGTTTAGGATCATTCGGGATCTCAGAAATAAAAATATACTGCATTTAATAGTATCTAAAATCAATGATGTTCATCACTTAAGCATGAAACAGATTCATAAGTTCATTATTAAGTTCACCAGGCATTACAGACCTAGAGATCTGCTCTAAAAGAGAGGGACTATAAGAGGGTAGAAGTAATGCCATTGCTGCTCCCTTACCTGTTTTGACACAGTATACTTGGTAGGAGGGGAACCACTCTCCGTACTGGCAGGTGATGTACTTGTAGTCGTTGGTGAGGGTGTAACCAGGATCACAGTAAAACTCCACCACCGTCCCGTGGTTGTAACGCTCGCAAGGCCTTGGGTGGCAGATGTAGTCTCCATGACTCACCATTGGAGGTAGTGGACAAACTTGGGCAAATAAACAAAGAGAAAAGGAGAAGGACATTAACGCCAGCAACCCACGGGTGGGTAGCTTCAGCATATGTCAAAATACATAGGGCACACCGCAGGCTCCCTTTCAGGCTCCCTGCAGTCTTGGGTTTTATCTCAGTGGTACCAGACTGCTGCTGCTGGGAGGCCAGGTGCCCATCTGCACCATGGATGGATGCATCACCTCCCTAGTGGCAACGTGTGCCGGAGGGGTCGCTTTCGGCTCTCACCAACACCAGCAAGTTCTGCTGTCACCTGCTTGTTTAAAGGCCTGAGAGGTGGGATCTGTGAAGCTTCCCATCCTCTGGGAGAAGGGGAGAGTGGGAGGAAAACAAAAGGGGACACATATGCCTGTAAGATGGCTATATGGGCCTGGAGGGGGACAAGCAAAATAAGGACAATCCCTCTCCTTATGAAGCATCACAAATTCAGCTGTAACATTCTATTTTTTGTTTCATTAACATAATTAAATGGTTATATGCACTAATTAAATTCCTAAACATTCACTTTTAAAAATGAATTTGCTGTCCACTGTGCAGCAGGAGATGCACAGCGATACTGCTTAATACTTACAGTCTGTACCACTGTAATGTTGTTAAGCTGGGCTCAGACTCTACTGGTGTTATTTGTGTTCTGTTATCTCTGAGCAGCCCTACTGATCTCAGTGGGATTGCTGGTGGAGTGAGGTCGTATAAATATAACAGAGGCTGAGCCTGTGTTAATTAAGTACAGTGGCTTACATAAGGTTAGGTAAAGAAGACGGAGTTGCAATATAAACATGTGCAATTTTTATTGTAGACCCTAAAACGAAATAAAATGACCTCTCACATGGCTGGGCAGATGAACGCAACGGAGAGTCAAGGGAGCGCTCTAGGAAACAGCAGCGGGGAGAGCAGCTCGCAAGCAGTATTTTCATAAGAGAGGAGCCTTCTCCACCTAGTATGTGTTAGTTGATTACTATTTTCTTAAGTGCTCTTAACACAGAGGAAAAAAAAACCTACAGAGTGTAATGATGTCTCAGATGGCTACATACTGACCCAAAAAGGCCGTCAGTTAGCTGGATGGGTTGTTTTATTTCCCTTCAGAGGCAGCAACTAACTGGCTCAGTGCCCCATCTACAGGCTGTTCCCTTCTCTTCATGCCTCCCTCACGCATCCAATACTTTCTGCATTGATTTAAATAATGAAAATGCCATCTCTCAGAAGAAGAATCTTCCCAGAAATTACAATTCAGCTGCTTCTCTCTGTGAATCTTGTTACATGAATAATGCATTTCATAAAAAAATACACAAGATATTAAATGAATCTTCAAGAGAAGCTGATTACAATGTGCAGCAATGTCTGTTCCCCATCCCCTGGAGACATGGTTTTGTTTGTATTTTCACTGGCAAGGCTTAATAATAACTCGAAATCAGAGCAAGTAATTCACATAAAATTCACATCCTCAATACTCTGCATACTTTCCAAAGTCTCTGGGCCCACAAGAAAGAGAAATGCTTTACTGGGAAGTCAACTCAAGTTTGAAAACAATTTTCTTAAGACTAGGGCAAAGGTCAGGCTGAAATAGTAGGAAAGCACCTTTTGTCCATATCAGGAATCATTCTTCTAGTAAAAAGAAAATGATCAGTGAAAGCAACTATTCTGGCCTGCCATAGGGAAACCTGGTATATTTTTATTATCTACACTTAGAGCATGAGAACAAAGGAAAACAGCAATTTAAGCTTCTTTGCAACTGAGTTTTGCCCAGCTATGGCAAGTTGCAAGAGATGTGTAGATGCCCAGGACCTTTCTAGCAGTGAGCAAGTGGAGCACACCTTATGACAAAGAGCAACACTCAGAGAAACAAATTTTCCTCTCCAGCAATGTATGTGCTGCCTCATCCCTAACCTCTTAATGTCATTAAGGGCCAAAGAAGCCTGCTGAATAAAAAAAGCCTCAAAGTTCGTATCCCAGCAATGTGGATCAGCTCAGGAATGACACATTTCCCGGCAGATTAAAAACAATACACTGTGGGGGCAACCCAGATAGGGAGCTGTATTTTATAAAACCTGAAAACAAGAACATCACTCCTTGTGTAGGATATGTCCCCAGTGCCAAAAAACAGTGCCACCCCTTCCACTAACACCCTCCATATTTCAAGGGAAACGCTCATATTGGTGCTGCCTGGAAACTTCTGCAAACATTTCTTTAATGCACTGCTGAGCATTAGTCATGAATTAGAGTCATGTTTTAAGCCATTGTACCTGCCAACAGCTCTTGCATTAAACACTCTTACAACCAGCAGATGCAGCGGAGCAGGTTTGAAAATGAGGGCGTTTAGCTCAGTTGAAACAGTGCTTCATTCTTATGCTAACTGGACTGTCAGAGTCAGAGGTTCTCAACTCACGTGGGGTATCCCTCACCACCTCCTATGAACTTTATGTTCATCCAGTTTCAGGATCCCTCAACATTTGCATGGGCAAACTGGTCCCCATGTACAATCAGTAATGCTCAGGTTTGGAGCCTCTTTTTCCAAATCAAGTCAAATGACATACATGACAAACAACCAAAAATGAACTCACTTTGAGCTCTGGGCAGTTAGTCATACACTCGGTCCCTTTCTCAACTCGTTCCATTCCCATGGTCATCCTGGCCCAAGATCCCTTAAAGTCAGTGGAAGGACAGCCATGAAGTGGCCTTAGTTTTGATCACAGAAAAGCAAGATTATGAAAGTTTGGAGGGCTGCTGAGCACTCTTGGCTCCCAAAGACAGATGATGTTTAGTGCAGAGCTAGTCATCTTAAAGGGTCAGATCCCTTATTTATGCTGGATACCAGTGTATGATACTAGTTACACAGATTAAAGGAATGTGCTAGATCAACTATGGAGGAAAACTCTGATGGGAAACTTAAGCCCATTGAAGTTTTCTAGGAAAGTTAAAATTCTAGCATTCCCAGTGATCAACCCTAATTAGATTTGCAAATTACAGGCCATGGACTTCAGGAAAATGCATCAAACACAGAATGAAAATAGCCACAAACTGATTAAAATAAAAGTGTGTCTGACAAGTAACCTTTTCACTGTCAAAGCCCACAGCAGTATGAATGATAAATAATCATAGAAACAAGTGAATTCTACTTCAGGAAGTTCTCACAGCTTAAAAAAGGCCCTAGGTGCTGTTCTTAAATATGACACCAGATCTTTACTACCAATAGCTTTCAGCATCTTCACTTTCTAAGGATTTTGAGACTTCAGCGCACAAATTACAACATCTAGCATGGATAATTCAGTAGTATCTTTTGACAATCAGCATTGAAAGACCACGTGCATGTGTCCTTAATTTTGGAGCTTTTCAGAGAGATGGACAGAATTCAGGCTGTGTCTGCTGGTGGTTCTGCAGCACATGATCCTGGATCTCTGGATCTGTCTTTGTAGAGCAATTGGCCACAGCCTGTAAGGAGACTTACAGGAACTTCACAGCTCAACATTCTTGGCTGAAAATCTGAATTGTTCATCAAAAAGAAAGAACAAGTGTGTTTATGTGGCAAAGAAATCCCTTCTGGGATGCTCAAGATGCCTGTTACTCAAGGAAGTTGAAGGGAGGAGCTCCTAATTTGATTTGATGGACTTCCTCTCCTGCTCTCAGGAGAACCGAGTGTTCTCCTCTAAGATAAACTATGGCCCTTCTGCTCTGACTTATTTTAATGAAAGATTAGTGTGCTCAGGAAGAGCTTAAAACCTGAGGAGTCAAGCCTGTGTTAAAAACACTGTCACATACTGGCTTGGAGCAGAGGCAAAGGCAGGTCAGCCCCACGGCGTGCCCCCTCAATCGCAGACTCCACAGTGCAACAGCCGCATCCCTTGGACCAGGGTCACAGCGAGGGTGATGCAGGCTGTGGGCGCTTACTGCCCAGGCACTGGAGGAATAAATGGGGTTCACTCAGTAATTTTTCCTACCCATTATGATCAAGCAGCTTTTTAAATTCTGCCCAGAGGATGCTGCAGTAATTCTGCACTGTTGACACTGGAACTATAGGAGGGAAGATCTTTCGGCATTAGCATATTCTCAATTAACATAGATGGCACAAAATAAAGATGTCACCTCACTTTTTAAAAGCCACTAGCAGAGACATAACAGTGGAGTTACAGATATTTACAATGCTCAATCCCTTCTTTTGAGTCAATCAGTTCAATGGCTAGTCGGTTTAGTCTCTGGTCAAAGTATGCGGGAGGTAAATTATTCAGGTTTTGCCCAGCTTTTGTACATGAGCCAAAAAATAAAAGCAAAAATATCTTGAAATACAGAGCACTTACTTACTTATAAAAAAGGGGTAGGAGTAAGCAAGAAACTTACTTTCCACCTTTGATTTTTTGCATAGTATGTTTTTTTCTCTAGCTGCTGGTCTGCCTTTCATGTAGGACATTAGTTGCTTGGTTAGCTGGGTTAGCAGTGCAGTGCAAAGCCAGCCATTTTCTGTTTGACACAGGGATGGACAGTGTTAGAGACATTTGCACTTAATAAAAAATAACGCTTCTTCCAAACACACTGTGAATGCCTGCTCATTATGCAGAGAAAAAGGTTAAGATGAACTTTCATGATGAGAAAGACATAGATAAAAACCTGCCAGTTGCAATGTGTGGAGAAAGCACTGGTGTATCTTGCTAGATACAAGTTGTGATCCCCAGGGCTCAGTTTTGGGGCCAGTCTCATTGATATCTTTATCAATGATCTGGATGAGGGTATTGAGTGCTTCCTCAGTAATTTTGCAGATGACACCAAATTGGGTGTGAGCGTTGATCTGCTCAAGGGCAGGAAAGCTCTGC